CAGGCTCTACTCAACAGAGGCGTGGGGCAGGTGTCGGAATATATCATGCGACCTCCATTCTCTGAACCCCGCCATCACATCGGGTCAAGTCTGTGTGAATATTGGCCACAGAAAAGCCAGCCTGCTCATCGACCACAAGTAGTACCTCACAGATTCCGTTACAAACTGGTCGATGAAACTGCAAAAAAGTTCAGGAAGAATGCGCCAAGGACAGCTTCCAGAATAGTGAAAGCCCATTACGACTGGAACCAGAAAAGTGAAAAACTTTGCCAGTGAAAACACGAAGTGCAACAATGCCGCCAAGTTCCAAAGCGATCCAGCAGTCAACAGTCACGGGCACGTTGTCCGTATGCTTGTCGTTAATTCTCACGAAAACAACTTCGATCTAAACATGTCGTCACTACCCGATCACAGATTGTTCCTCTCCAATGCCAACAACGCTGATGGTTCCGGTTGAAGACGGATAAGGCAAACTCTTGAACATAGCTTGAGTCATTGCAAGATGCATATAACATCTTGCCTCCATTGATGGCAACTTTGATTATGGTGGACTCACTGCTCACTCATAATCTGTCAGCCATGCAGACCATATCATCATATCGGAAATCTCGCAAGAGGAACTGTTTGCGGCCATGCAGCGGGGCACCATTGGCAAAGGAAGGAATCACACATCTTGTTTCGACAGATTTCTGCATGATTCGCTACAATGCGAGAGTAAAAGAAGATTACCGTGGGCTGAAAGACCAACCATTTGTCATAGGTGGTGATGCAAAGGCCGAAACAGAGTTTGCGCAAAAGCATTGCAGAATGCGCATGTTAAGAATCAACTCACCGCAAATCTTCACATGATCGAATGGCAGAAGGGGCGCCATTAATGGACAATCCTTGATCCGGGAAGCACATCTAATTGTATCACATGGGGGCAAATGCCTCGCATTGAGTACGATGAAGTTAGTGAGAAGTATGATGTTTGACCACCCAAACTGTTGCACAGGAGTCATTGAGAAGCAGCACACGCTTCTAGCATTTTCATGCTACTACTGCCACTGGAAACCCTACTCATCGACCTCGAGACACTGATGTGATTGTAATAGATCTTGGGCATGGCTCGCCGGACATGGTGGCTGGCATACGCATTGAGATGATCATCATGGATTGTGCGTTCTTTGGCAACAGATAGAATATACATTGAATGTAACAGCATGCAGGGCTTTAGAGACGAACAACAACAGTCTAGCAGCCGGGCTTTGCCAGGCCTACATGCTTTCAGCGCGTGACTTTACAGCGCGCATTCTAACAGAAAAGGGGAATCAGCCGTACGATGCTACAGAAGATGACAATGACGGAATTTTATTCCAGTTCTTCACGCAAGCATTCTCGAGAGGGGAACTAAAGAGCAAAGATCCGCAGAAGTGTCTCGCTGTGCTCCCTATATGGAATGAGCAAGATGAATGATGTAAACGAGGCACAGCGTTCACAAGCTTTCGCTGCACTGGCAAAATATTAAGGTGAGGAGAAATGAATTGAAAAAAAAACGTGAATTGCCCATCAAGAGAGAAAACTCATAAGTGGAGAAGCACCTTTACACAACGACGCGTAATAATCAATTGTACCGGTAACTCCTGCATTCAATTCCTCTTGTCGGTTCAGGAAAAACCCAATGGCAAAAGTCAAGAAAGTGATCGTGCCTGCTACCCCCATTGGAAAGACCATGTAAATAAAGCTACAGCACGTTGCGCAATTATGTGAGCATCATCTTGCGTAGAGCAAGACTCCCACAACCAGACCATATTATCTGGACCCTCTTTCCAGTATGGATATGGTAAGAATGAAAAACGGGCCATTATGTACGCAGATGGTTTTACTCGCCTGGCTGCAAACGAGACAATCTTTTCTGCAATGATCCGAGGAGGAACCGATAGAGATACAGGAAAATGAGGACATTGATGACATTCCAACGGATGATTCTGGCAGCACGACTTTGACCCAGATGGAGTACGATTTCGGATATGACGAAGCGAGCCTGAAGTTTGCTTTAGCCACTACAAGTTTGGCATTTAACCCATAGACGACCTATATTCTTCGCATTATCGAATGATGTGTTTTGTAAAAACGGCTCAAGCTACTTTGTGCATGGTGCTTCACATCGAGAATACACATCATCTAGTCTTGTCTCAGCGAATAGATGAAGTAGTATAAATTACTTTAAAATTCTCTATCACAAAGTTGAATTTAAGGATATACTATATATTAGGTTGAAAGCCATAAAACGATTGATACCCTAGATCTCCTGTGAAGAAATGTCATTGTTGACGCCTTCTGATTTGAATCCAATATTTAGCAGTCTGAGAAATCGCATCACGAGCCAACCATCGATTTCTTAAGGATTACTACACAGTACTACTTCTACTGATTCGTTTTCCTGCAATCATTGTATTTTTCTTCATCAGATTTATTTTTTTATATCATGTTCCTTAAATTCTCTTAGGATTCCAATTATGACTGTGTTGATATTCGTGTTGAACGTTTAGGATATTTTTGTTGTACGTATGTGGATTTGGCAAAACTTGCGCCATTCTTAGCTACAAAGTGAACTGACGCTCAGTAAACTTAAATCTAAGTTTAATTTTATGATAACACTGTAGCGAGAAAGACCTAACACACTATTGAGGACGAACCAACTTCTACATGATCGCACATGTTTGTATAACTATAGTATTAATTGCATTATATAGTACTTTGTTATAAGGCTGCACTATTCTATGGTAGCGAGCACACGCGAGTCCTGTACTAGTTACTTACACTGCGCACCCTGGAGTATTCTGTATGTATTTGCGTGGTTTGTAAGGAGATAGAACAAGTGCTAATCTGCGTCCTAGCGAACGAAAGAACTAACAAAATGAGATACAAATTCCTTCTTCTTCCTTCCCCTCCAGCACCAATATCCACTGTACTCTTTGACCTTTCTCACCTTGTACATGTATGGGCGCCCGTCTTTCGTTTATTATTTCCTTGGGTCTGGCATGACGTCGTGCTGTCTCTTGCAGGTGTCAGGCACGCAAAGTGTACGCTAGCAACAGATAATGTACCTATCGCACTAGAATATGAAATTTCTGATTCATTATGACCAGCAGATATATGTCTGTACCTATCTAGCAAGCTTTGAGCACGTAACCCTTGAGCTTCAAGGAGTGTAACCTCTATACATCATGTTACTACTAGCATGAGAAATTCTAAACCATGCAAATGTCATGTGTGAAAAGACTAAATGGGCAAGGGGTCTATTTTGGGGGTCTGGCAGGACCAACACATTGGAAACATTTCTGTCATCTGCCCATTTTGTATTCCCCCAGAGAGTGCTTTGTCATTAAACCTAGGTTCAAGTGGTACACCCCCCCCATCCCACACCAACCTATTAAACATTAGGCCGCCTAGATGTAACCAACAGTGCACAAGGGTACACATATTTAGGGTGTCTTGCACCCTTGTACAACAAGGCAAAGAAGTTTCTAGGCGTAGCGCTGTTTTGTGGCTCTATGGAATGAACCTGATCATCGTTGCATCACCTTCACTTGTACCAAATCGTAGCCTAAATATTTGGGCCTTTGGGAGGGTCTGGCGGGCCATTTTAACCAACAGCTGAAAATTTCTGTCGATCGTTTTTGATGTATCATTCTAGCAGTTACCATCACCATGTTCTTATTGGCAATTGCGTAGACCATCTCATCTATTTCAGACCGAAGGGCCCGCCAGTTTACACCCTCTTTTTGGGGGGTCGCCGTGGCTCTACGCAACGGGGGGTACCACCCAGAAAAGCAGTTATCTATCAAAGTCTTATGCTAGGTGAATCATCCCTCCGTAATACTCGCAATCACGTAGATATATGGTGACCTGAGTAGGTCTCGTCTACCCTGAAACGCCTCTAGGCTGCCGGTACTAGAGGCAAATGCAGAGACCGGTGAGGTCATCGGCATGCTAGGGGGCCGGGGGCAATGCTCCAGCCAGAATTTTGTAAAGAATGGCGCAATTGGAGCATTCTAAGCTAATTCTGAAGAATAATATAGGGAACTCTTGAATCACTTTTTCAAGTTGTCAAATGGAAAAACGCACTATGAACTAGAAATCAGGAGGGCTGAAAATAGGGCAAAGTTTTTTATATTAAATTCTAGGAATAAGAATATTCTGTTCACGACGTCGCTGTTGCATGTTTTTACTCAGACATAAAGCTGCCTGCTGGCGCGCGATTGCTGTGAATGAAAAAAAAGACAACAATGAGAATAGAACAATCAGTGCATAGTCATGCAACCACAAGCATGCCACCGCAGCAACTCTGTAACCGGCCCGCAAGGCCAGGCATGTGCGTTACGTGATCACGCATACCTCAAATGTCTGCGCCCCTCTACATGCAGCACTGTGAACGAGATTTTCTTTTCGCTGATACACAAACAGATACATCTGTAATACTCACTGCTCAGTCTCTACTCATACTCTACAGTTACAGTTCAGGTGCTGGTTGAGGGTACATAATTTTAAATTTTTATGCGATTGATTTACCCACCACACCCCCACCCAATTTTCTTCAACGAATTTAGACGTTTCACAAAATCGACCCCAGGGACTGTCAAATCCGCGGATTTCCGCAGATCCGCGGAAAAATCTCATCCCTGAGAATTGTACACTTCTGTTTACAGACAGCATCACAGTGGCACACATGCATCATCTGTGAGCAATCTTGCAACTCCTATTCTTTGTGTTTGCGACACTACAATTATTTGTATTTAGTTCCTGAACGGACAAGTAAGCCATCGTAAGTACCACAGTATAAGCTTCATGCAGTACATACAATGAGGGATAAGCTCAAATAATACTTATTTCACTGTATCACTATCAAAATTACTAGCGGCTTAATCTAGGCCTCACTGTTAGCAAAGAAATGAGCAGAACTTGGCCAGCTAATATCCTACCAGTATTATTTGTGGCAAGTTTTATGTAAGTCATACCGCTATGATTTCATGTGCATTCTCGTCAGCAAATCCGTCTCTAGTTATTGCGAGGTCTGTGGCCCGCAGCAACATGCCATACTTGTGCATCCGTGCACGTGGTTGAAAATACGGCCACCTCTCGTGAATTTTGCAGAGGTTAATCTATGTGAAAAAAATATAAGTAAATTACTTCCCCTGTTCTGATAACAAATTTAATAGTTAGCAAAGTATAGGACTAATAAAGCATTTGCTACTCCATAGTGACAACTCACACCTTGTAGCTTTAATTCATAATCATATAAATTATTATGTATGTGTTAAATATTTCAGATTCGTCATACACTCATAGCAACTATCTTTAATTAATGAAATATACCTAAATTATAGCTGCAAATAAGCTGAAATTAAAAAAACAGATTCAGATCGATGATACTATGTTTAACATGCTTTTTGGAACGTGAAAACACAAAATAAACATTTGGAGATGTACCATTTGTTTATATCCCACTTTATGGATGCCGAAGGGTCGTTCAACAAACAATTGTCTAGTTAGTAGAAGCTGCTCTGTCGATGGGTGCCTGTTACTGTGAAGCTAAGAAAAGCATAACTACAATTTCTTATCATAATACAAATAACTTCCTGATACATATATATATTCAAAATTATTGCTCATTTGCAAATTATAAATTATCACATTCATTAGAAATTTCTCATATGCACACAAAATCAGACTGCAGGTATAAATCAATATAGGTGGAACAACCACATTCGCTACTTCATAAACAGGGTAAGGGAAATTGTTTTTAACCATGTTTTATATATAATACTAATGCTGCTTAAATTGTTATAAGAGTAAGTAACCTCACCATATGTGAGCAAGTGAGATCATAGGGCCCATTTTCAGAAAAATCATAAATGGTCAAGACTACATGAAGCCTTGAAATTACATAGTTTTGTATGACACTTCATCTTTTAAAAACGTTGTGCCATTTTAGACCGATGATGTCATAACTACCTATGATGATTCTGAAAATCGACCATTGGTTCCTCTGCCATTTTATAGTTTATATATCGAATAAATTTTTTCATATTACAGCCTGCAAAGATTTCAGCAGCTATTCAAAAACTAAAAAAATACCTCTAGTAGCATCAATGAATCTATCGCACTCAGGTAGCACCACATATACCTCATGCAGGACATCTTCCATGTAAATGCGCAGCTTGTCATCTGTGATTTTACGTGTCTTTCTTTCTAACTTAGCCATGATGATGTTGTAGTTCTGCACACGTTCAGTAAGGTCCTCAAGCCAGAACTGCATCTTCTGGTCAGGTGTCCAGAACTGATGAGAGAGCAGTGACTTTGGATACTTGTACCTGGGTAACAACATCACAGTATTTCTCACCCATTTACACTCTCCCAGCAAGCAAATACTACATTTTGAAATGGAATTTGTATTCAAATATTATAGAAAATCTTACCATAAATATGGCTATATACATGTAGTTTAACAACATATAATTGCTATGCAGTGTCACGTGGAATACAATTATCAATTTATATTTCAAATATATCTGATGTAGTGATCTTTTACAAACAATTTGACAGTAACTGAATCAGTCATCAACTCAAATTCTTTAACTCTGAGACAATGTGAGCAGACTTACGCAACAATGAAGAATACATTTCCCACAAATGGTATGGCTTGCAGGCAGTACAACGGCAAGCAGTGTAGAAGATCATGGGGCAACTAGATAAAGAAAGTTGTGCTTCGATAAAATATACTTTTGTAGCATATGGTTTACAAATGTTGTTTTCAGCATCTATAGAGGGTTTCGCAAATTTTCAAATTACCCACAACGCATCGCCGCCGGCCATGACTTGTTCCAGAAACCAGTTCAGGCATGGTACAAGTACATTGAGCAACGCACCTCTGCTCATTTTATTCGCCTATTAAGCAAATCCATCACAACGCCGCTCTCCTGCGGTGTTGTCAACTGCAGCAATCAGTATCAGAGAGAGCCACACAGCTTTTTTAGGCTGCCTAGCGTGACCACAACACAAGGTAAAGTGACGAGAGACCAGGCGGACCACAGACGCTTGCAGCATTTTCAATAAAAAAAGCAATGCTGAATAAACACGAAATGTATTTACTACCAATGTCTTAATGTTTCTCTACTCTCTTTCGCCTAGTATTGCCGATAATTACCGTAAATGCCGGTCAAATGCTCCTCTGCAACACACAGGTACACCGCACGCACGGCGCACGCCGCTACACATTTACACGTATATATATATATTGCCGGCATCCAGTATCCTAGTAGCTGTTTGAGTGGGGGTGGAGATTTCTCTTGCACGTGCAGCATACTGTACATAAAATAGCACCGAGGCAACATGTGAACAGAATTCACCAAGCCCGGCTTTACAATTACAGTGTGCTGACATGATGCCTGTCCCATATTCTCTCATCGTGACCCATGCACAGATAGAGAGATGGTATAAACAAAGACTGGGAGTGCATAACACGTGCTCTGATAACGTAGATGGGACTCTCACTGTTCACATGATAGATGTAGACTGATACACCACTAACCCAACCGCAGAACAGTCGATCGTAGGCATCCAGACTTTTGTGGTTCTGAAAGTCCTTGAGAGTATAAAATGGTCTTGGCTAGAATGTTAGGTAGTCAATTCACGAGATCCAAATAAGTACGTGATAGGCACAAGTTGTGGTCCTCGCTCCATTCTCGTACGGGTGTCGATTCTCAATGCACGCAATTTTCTCGAGATAGCGTGCTTTGGCTACGTTGTCTAGTGAATCAAAGTACTTGTCCAGACTACGTACACTTCAGACAGTTGGCAAATGTGCATACACCAGATGTTATAAAACGCTGCGTTTGATAACTATAAGCAGTAAAATCGGTGAAATTTCTGAACACTTGCGATGTAAACAAACTCAAGTCCATGAACATAATTATGTGTTGCGTGCAATTTCGCGACGCTAATAAACCTGCATGCAAAGCCCTGCAAAACCGGACCTGTATAATCTCATTGAACTCTAGCGGAGCACCCCAACCCACGCTGATAAACATGCCTGCAACACCCTGTAAAACCGGGTCTGCACAATCATATTGAACTCTAGCACCCCATCACGCTCTGGTAAACCTGTCTGCAAAACCGGGATCCACTTACTGCTAATATAGATTACTATAATAACACTATCGTATGTACAATCTATCGATGTAAAATCGCTAGATTGCGCATATCGGTAACACGTGTTCGCAATTCTGACTACCAGTATGGCCGGCGGCACGGGATTGTAGGTAATATTGCTATTTTTAGTGCAAGTCCGCGACTTGCACTAAAAATAGCAATATTACCCACAATCCTGAGCCGTCGGCCATACCGGTTCCAAAAAGAGCGAACATGTGTTGCGTGTATAATCTGCCGATCTGCACAATCAACCGATTTTACATTGGCTATAGTGTTATTATTGCAATAGATATTAGCAGTAAGTGGATGCCGATTTTGCAGACAGGTTTATCAGCTGGTTTTGGTGTGCTAGAGTTCGAGATGATTGTGCAGACCCGGTTAATGGGCGCCGGTTTTACAGGGTGTTGCAGGCAGGTTATCAGTGTGAGTTGTGTTAATTGGTAGAGTTCGATGAGATTGCGCAGGCCCGGTTTTGCAAGCAGCTAGGTTGATCATTGTGGGTTTTAGGTGCTAGAGTTCAATGAGGCTGTCACACAGTCGGCAGATTCGTAGATTGAGCAGATCGGAAGATTGCACGCAACACATATGTTCATAGACTTGAGTTTGTTTACATCGTAAGAGTTCAGAAATTTCACTGATTTTACTGCATCTACTCTAGCTATCAAACGCAGCTTTTTATAATAGCTAGTGTATGCACGTTTGTCGGCTGTCTGTAGTGTACGTAGTATGGATAAGTACTTTGATTCACTAGACAACGTAGCCAAAGCACGCTATCTCGAGAAAATTGCGTGCATTGGGAATCGAGACTCGTACCAAATAGACAATGTCGAATGGAGTGAGGACCACAATGTGTTCCCATCACACACCTATTTGAATCTCGTGCACTACTTAACATTCCAGCCGAATCCATTTTATACTCTCAAGGACTTTCAGAACCACAAAAGCCTGGATGCCTACAATCGACTGGTCTGAGGTTGGGTGAGAGGTGTATCCGTCTACAATGTACATCTATGATGTGAACAATGAGTGCCCCATCTACGTTATCCGAGCACATGTTATGCACTCCCAGTCTCTGAATATACCGTCTCTCTATCCGTGGGTTATAATGAGAGAAAATGGAACAGTCATGTCAGCACACTGTAATTGTAAAGCCGGGCTTGGTGAATCTTCTTCACACGTTGCCTCGGTGCTATTCTACGTAGAGTATGCTGCACGTGCAAGAGAAACCACTACACCCACTCAAACAGCTGCCTACTGAATGCCAACGATATATGTATATAAGTGTAAATTAATGTGTAGCGGCGTGCGCCGTGCGTGCGGTGTACCTGTGTGTTGCAGAGAAGCATTTGACCGGCATTTACAGGTAATTATCGGCAATACTAGGCGAAAGAGAGGAGAGAAACATTAAGACATTGGTAGTAAATACATTTCGTGTTTATTCAGCATTGCTTTTTTATTGAAAATGCTCCAAGCGTCTGTGGTCCGCCTGGTCTCTCGTCACTTTACCTTGTGTTGTGATCACGCTAGGCAGCCTAAAAAAGCTGTGTGGCTCTCTCTGATACCGATTGCTGCAGTTGACAACACCGCAGGAGAGCGGCGTTGTGATGGATTTGCTTAATAGGCGAATAAAATGAGCAGAGGTGCATTGCTCAATGTACTTGTACCATGCCTGAACTGGTTTCTGGAACCGCCATGGCCGGCAGCATTGCATTGTGGGTAATTTAAAAATTTGTGGAGCCCTCTATGTGATAGCTTCTGAGAACTAGTTTCAACGTAGGAGTGTTCTGAGACTTGTCTATTTAGTAATAGACGCCTAGACAGGCAGGCGTATTCATGTTTGCACAGAGTCTTGTAAAATGACCATTTCGCGTAGTTATTGGTACATTGTGAACCATCAGAGGATGCAGGGTTAGGTAGACGTGGGGGCAATGTGTGGGGAATACTGGGCTGATATATATATACGTTGTTCTGATTGTGAAGGGGGAGTCGTGTTTGGAGTCCGGGTCAGTGACGGTTGACCATTTTGCGTTGTTATGTTTGGTAAAAATAAGATTGGTTTTGCTGAACACAAATCCGTGTAAATCTCTGTTTTTATATCTAAATTCTAAATTATATTATCCATACACTCTGGTGTAACAAAAAGTGTACGTTACTTTACATTGGGAATGGGGAAATACATCTCTATTCACATACACGCATGCAGGACACACCTAGACAGAAATGACACGCCTGTGCATAAACTCACAATCACATGTGCACACACCCAATGCTACTTATTTTAACACAAAAGCTATAGCTCTGTGCAAATGTGTAAGTAAATTATAATTAAACACATTATCAAATCTACTCCTATGCAAGGCTGGGAGATTTTAGATAATATCTGTTTTAGAATTTGAAATTAACATAAAGTTATGTAAGATGACATGCAATTGCAATCATTAAAGATGCCTTCCCACGCACATTTTTGTTACAACCCACTGTAAAAACGTCAGTAAATAACTCACTACACTGTAACTGAATGTTAGAGCTCTTTGAAAATAAAACTGTAAAAATATGTATCAAACCTATATTCCCTCAGGCTCAACGAAAAAACAACTCGAAAAACATGTTTCGCCGCGGTTCTGTATCATAGCGGCAAGAGTCGACGCAGGTCACGTAACCAGCACAGCTACATATATATCATATAACACATGTGTTATATGATATCTATGAGCATATGCAGCCTTCATGACCTTCAGCGCTTGGCAACACCGCATGGCAACAAGAGACGTGTCACAACATCGCCGCAGAGCAGCAAAAGTAAAGGCTGTTTGAAACATTCGACCCGACACTTTCACTTTGGAGTCTAAATGCTTAAAATGAATGAACGTATTCCTGAGCATTTTTACCTATCACACATATATAGACAAGTGCAAACCTGCAATGTAAAAATAATTCATTTTTGCCTGATTTTATGTTTTCCGCTTGCAATTTCGAGGGAAGACACCTTTAATAATCAGTACTGTGGACTGGTTCAGAGCAATTAGTGTAAATCTATACCTGTCTGTATACTTCGAGTTCTCTCCGAGTCAATGTGCCCAAAGGTTTACCCTTTCGAATCTGTGTGTAGATTCGAAAGTAATCCCTAGCATCCAGAAATAGGTCTCTCAGACCTGTAACACAAATTTAATACTGAAAACTTTAAAAGGGAATTATGAAGAGCCAAGACTCTGAACTCAGTTTGTATGGTCCAGGATTAATTGACTTTAAATCACTGATACAGTAGATTGACCACTCTATGATTGTTGTCATTTATAGCTAGGACATCAACCATGTTATATATATACCCGTCTGACATGGTAATTTCTTACAGCTTGGGGCTCGTAGTTAATTATTTTGATAATGCTCCAGAAAATTTCTAGGGGAGAGGGGGCAAAAAATTTGTATCAATAATCAGGAATAATAGTCAAATCCTATTTTGAAGTTTAAAAAGTCGATCTCCACCTGTAGGATAGAACTAAACTAAAAGGATGGTTTTTATGAGGTTTTGTTTTAGGATATGGCTTTGTTTCTTAAATGTATTCTAGCCGTATTTATATTTATAGGATTATATTGATCCAGTGGAAGTGATGCAAGTGTAACTGAAATGATATGGAAGATAGCCAAATATGGAGCACTGGCCGCGCATAGAAGAGAAGTGCGCGCGGGAGAGAGAAAAGAAAAGATAACATGGTGGATCCATGCGCCATAATGAAAGCCAGCGCACAGATCCAAAGAAAAGCCTATAATCACCTGTAAATGCCGGTGAAATGGTCATCTGCAACACACAACTCACAAGTACACCGCACGCACGCCCTGTGCTGTGTGCAGAAACACCAAGAAAGTCTCTTGGTGTGCGGCTCTTGAGTGTTGATCGACAATATCAATATGGCGTCTATAAGCCACTTCGTAGTTACGCACTGGAGCCCTATGACGTCATCAGGTCATAGGTCATTTGTACATAGCTGAGAAGTTGGATCGCGCGTTCGCTCGCTCGGAACGAGTACGTGCACTGACGTAAACATAGACTGGTACGCGATCGACAGTTCGCTGCATGTATATCGAGCTTGTGACAAGGGCATCGGGACAGTACGTGCACTGACGTAAACATAGACTGGTACGCTGCAGTTCGCTGCATGTCTATCGAGCTTGTGACAAGGGCTTGGAAACATTCTAGGCCTATTTTCACATTTGACATGGATTCTTCCGCTCACTCAAGATAGATTAAATAGTTCTATTTGTATTTTCATTTTCACAATAAGTGCACGAAGTTTAACGAACTACAGCTTGTGATCTTCTATTTACATACCATATCGGATAAACACAAAAGTTTGCTTCCAAATCTTATAGTTGAAAACTTAACCATTTTTCGAGCGATCCACATAACCTGTAGAATTTGTATTGAGCAGTCATCGCCGTCTCGGTGTAAGTAGTCCGCTTCGCGGACGGGTATCGTTTCACTCACAAAAAGGCGCGAACGTCTAGAACTTAGAGGAGGATCTACCTCCGACCTGCTCCCCCATCCCACACAGGCTTACTTTACATTGGACATGCTGTAGCAGTGATGGGTTAGCATGTTAAAGAATTCAGTAAACTATTACCATGTTTGACGATCTTGTAGATCTTGAACACTCCAGGGTATCGGCGCTCAAGGATCCCCTCATACCAGGTTACATATCTGTTATATTTTGCAACTGCAAAGGTGACAAGGGCTGACGAAGCAATTCGACTCTTCTTTTTTTGGTCTTGTGGTGTAGTAGACAGATAGCTGTTCTGGACGATATGCCTACAGGAATAAATAAAATAGCCACGTGTACTTATATTATGTATCACAGTCAATGCATGGCAGCAAACAAGCTTCTTGTTTGAGTTTCATTAGACCTTCCTTTAATCGAATGTTTTAATATAGATACTGGGGTAGGGTTTGAAAATGTGGGAGGTTCATAAAATTCATTATACTTAAGCAATTACCTAAGTTGTAACTAGGGGTGCACCGGAACTTGGATCCGGCCGGAAATATCCGGCCGGATCCCCAATTTTTCAGAGTTCCGGTTCCGGCCGGAACCCATCAGAAACAGTCGGCCGGAACCGGAACTTTTTCCTAATTTCATTTCTGCTACAAGTGTCATCAAAATCAAAAGATTAGTCACTGAATGTAGTTAACAACTTCACACTTTTCTGCCCAAAAAACGCTTGGCACTTGAACATTGGCTAACTAACTGAACTGAACCTAACTGATGTTAGGTGATTCATAAGATTTTCTTTCAAAATCAAATCGCATCTGTCCATTAGTTGAAAATAATAAACTAAACCCAGGGATACTGCAACATGCAAGTTTTACCACAGAATTGGCTCGTGAATAAGATGCCAGAATTATGCAAATTATGCACTGTAAGCAGCTGATTCATACACCTAACAGTAACAACCATCCTGTAATTAGAACGTTGAGCATTGTCCTACTCACCTAAGTGATGTGCCTGCTAAAAGTTGGATCCGGTGCACCACTAGTTGTAACATCTCAGTACACAAAGCCAAAAGGACCAAACACTTTTAGACAATTTGAGTTACTTCAGAAACAGTCAATCACAAAACCAATATTAATGTATGTTTACATTAACACAATTCCGGTAATGGCGGCCAGTGAGTAAGACGTGTGCAACATCGGCTTGCACATATTTTGAAAAAGTGAAAGGAAAAGTATAGAAAAAATCGACATTATGCGTGGAGGCAAGCAGAAAGTGTTTAAACACTCCACGCACAACTACGTGACGCGACAAAACAAGGAACGAATGGAAACAGTGGATAATTCTGTGAACGCTGAAGCCGGCATTTCAAGTAACATGGCTACTACAATGGCGCACGATGAAGCCGGCGCCAAGGTCACGAACGCGGAGCTGCGAGAACTCTTTGTCGGCCTATAGGCAAGTTTAAATAACAAATTAAAAGAGGGTTTTGCTGACCTTACAGAGAAGATAACCAATTTAACCAGAAAAATTAAAAATCTAGAGATGGAGGTCGACACAGTGAGCGAAGATCATGCACAGCAGCGAAAAAAATACACGGGAGCGGCGAGCGATTTCGCTCCCGTCAGCTTTCAAAACGCTCTGGTAACGACAATTACGAGAGCGAAAATTTTGGAAGATACGAGAAAAAATCGCCCCCGTGCCGCCGGCAGCGTTCGAAATTAGTTCCGACCCGGAGGCCCTCCCAAGCTTTTGCTCGGGCCACCATCTCTACGAAACTGCCGGTCCTCCTGACCGGCACTTTTTCCCCTCATATTACGCTGAAATACTACGGTTATCGCAACGGCAGTTTAGACAGGTCCTTGTATAAACGGGAGTGCATAATACGACCCGTTCCTCAACGTAGACGGGGTTTCCAAAACATCTAGAGCTGCATGAACTCCCTCAACGCATGATTCGCCACACGAACAAAAACTCGCGACAGTCTAAGAAATCGATTGCGGCATCGCCCGGCATGTAGGGCAGCCCATGCAGTGTTTTTATGATCGCGTAACAATAAGTTTTTATATCGCAGGGGTTACCGTGAGGAGTGAGGGCACGACCAGTGACACCTGACACGCACGTAATCAAAGCTGTTAACTGAATTCGTCACTTTTCTTAACGTAGAAAGTGGACTGTTTTTATTCAGTTAGATATTAGTTCATTAGATATCGATCATTAGATATCGTTCATTAGATATAGTTCATTAGATATCTAGAAGCAATGTGAACTCTATATACTTATTAAAGATTCTAGGCACTTGTAACTTTGCGGAAGTGCGGCAGCATAGATCTATGCATGGGGGTACCGTGGACTGGGGAGGTGAAAAACGAAAGTAAAACCTTGGCCAGAAGCTCCTCCGATCGACATTCCTAGAGATTGAAACATTATTTGACCAACTCTAATTAAGTTACATGTATGCTGTTTTAATGCCAATGGTTATCTGTATATACTATTTTATTACTCACTGCTAGTAAATAAGCGGACCACCAAATTTTTGTGCTGGTCCACCAACTTTCTGAAGTTGATGGTCCTGCTGTCCACTAGATTTTCAGCCGAAATTCGAAACCTGCGGTGCCGTGCTCGACAAACCCGCTTGCCCGATGGCACGGGGCAACCAAAATTCGCCCCCGGGCAAGTAGCTTGAAATTGCATTTGCCTGTTCCGGCAAGCAAGTTTTTTTTATTGAATGTCTAGACATAACGATATTTTTCTGTTTCCACCCGTCCCTTGCATTGTTTTGCACAGACATAAGCTGCCTTGCTGCGACGAGCTTTGAATGAAAAAAACCATGCGAATGAGACAATCAGTGCATGCAGTCATACTTTGTACACAACATGCATACAGCAACATGTAAACCCGGCCTCCGTGATTTTATCACCATTATGAATGATTGTTGACCTCGTCGATTTCGCCAAAGCATAATCTTGACTTTCGTTTGGGAAACACCTTTACGATAATTAGACACAATTTCTGGCTTCTGAGACATTATTAGAGTCAGTGCATTAAAATGATGAAAATTTTAACAAAATCATGCTATGAAAAAGTAGCTCTGGCCAAGCCTAAAATAGCTCCCGTAAAAAAAATTACGAGAGCGTTTTTTTTCATACAAAATCAAAAAAGAGCTCTCGTAAAAAAAAAGTAATTTTTAGGCTGATGCACAGGTACATAATTTAGAGCAAGAAGTCGAAACACTCATTTCAGGCAGTCTTTCCTCCATACGCAAATCCACAGCCGGAAGTACAACCTCCTCATTTATGAAGTTGAGGGATAGGAAAATGAACCAGCGCTCACAATAGAGAAAAATGACAAAATTTGCAGTGGATGATCTAAAACTGGACAAACAATTAATACGCTAAGAATTTTTCAATCCGCAACGCGCATCGCTTAAAGAGGCGGGACAATGGTCCCACACTAATAATCATCGTGTTCCTATACTGGACCGAGAGAGACACCTTTCTACGTGCGGAGAGAAGTCTAGCCGGAACAGGAAAGAGCATTAGAACAGATTTACCTCCCGAACTGAAACAAAAACATGGTATTCTCATGTGTAACGCATATTCAGGCCAGAGTCACAGAACACGGCATCGATCTATGGATTGAAACAAGGAAAAACAGTACGGAGCCTTGGAAGAAACTATCCGGAAACTGAACAACTTTGGGCAAATACGATAGGCCTGTATGCATATTGTTAAAATCAGCTGTTTACTTGGCCCAGAACTACGAACACATCGAGTGCTTTTAGTGGAGGCTCGGAGATATAACACGGCCCCAGCCAATCAGAAGCGCCATCCCGAACCTACTTCGGTGTAAGCCAGATGATAGCGGCTAACGTATGAAAGACGTTTTGGTATAACAGTAAGGGCATAGATAAATGCACCTATAAGCTTTTAGTTTAATATAGTCTTAGATCATAATTTCAGATACAATTTCGTGCCATTAATATACTGATGGGATACTACTGTGATCTGATCTGATCCTGATCCTGATCTGATACTACTGTGCTAGTCTTAATTGTCACCCATATGGTGGTCTCACCAGGAAGTGTTTACGTGTATGTGTGGTCTGGTATGTGTGCCTGGCTTCTATATACAGTCATACTCTTCTACGAGAATCCAACTTATTAGGAGCTGACATTCATACCTGTGTGTTTGTGTACGTCCCGGTTACGATTTGTGTTCTGTGTTTGTCTGTCCTAAACTTTATTTCCAGAACTGTACAAATGTATTTTTGTCTAAACAACATCAAATATTATCAGGAGTCTATCAATATTGATAGACTCCTGATATTATACCATACGTTATACCTAGTGCCTAGCAATGCTATCCCTAGCTCAACAGCATTATTACTTTAATAAACAGAACAGTAATAGAACGGCCCAGTTAAACGGGCAATAGTCAACTCGACCAACCCGCCAGCTCGACTTGCATTGTGGCGAGTTTACCCGCCTGGAGGTCGGTCAGCTCGGCTCGTGGGTCGAGATGACTCGCCTGGAGATCGGGCAGCTCGACTCACAGGCTAACTCATTTAAGATGCTTTACACACTCCGACGTCAAAACGTCTATTTTTATTATTATTAAAACTTTATTGCATATATAATTCACATACAAATACATGTACTGAAAGCAGTCTTTTATACGGAGAACAAATCTGATGGATGCAATAGTGTCGAGCTAAATATTGAGTAGTGATTGTAAGTATTGATAAAATTTACTTGATTTGAGTGCAATAATTACAAGGTACAGTATGGGATCATTTCTGTCTGGTTTCTGTCTGGTTTTACAGTTGATATGTACTTGTATATAAATATAAGTGTGTGGTATTTGTGTGGGAATAACCTTAAATGCATAGAGTATAATTTTGTCACACATGATCAATCTCAATTTTCAATCTCACATGAGTTAGCCGGTGAGTCGAGCTGCCCGATCTCCTGGACGGTCATCTCGACCCAGGAGCCGAGCCGTCCGACCCCCAGGTGGGTAAACTCGCCACACGGGTCGAGTTTGCCGGTGAGGCGAGTTGACTACGGACCAGGCCTTGAATTAAGCGACGAGAGAGGCAAGGCAATTTGTTGGGGGCATGTGAGAAATTGCCTTAAATTTTCTCTAAAATTGATGGGCACTGAGGCAATTTTAAAAGGCATCAAGGCAACTCTCACAATTTGAGAAGGGCACCACTTGGCACTTTTGTAAAATGTACATCGTCTTCCGCCCCCATGTAATCTTACAGCGTAACACCGACCCCTGTACCCCTGCTACAGGGGTCGGCTGTAGCAGTCGCTGTAGGGGTAGCTGTAGGGGTCGGCTGATCGGCTTATGGGCTCTGCTAATAGAAGTACAGTAACAGGGTTCAACATTGACTTTTTATTTCACTAGAGCATCAGGCTAGTAACTGAGGAAAACCACTAGCCCTGACCTAACTTTCACTAGCCCAGACCCAGACCATTGTTATGAAAAACTTTGTGTCATGACTGTCATCGTATGAATTCTACTAAAATTTCTCTAAATTTACTGCACTTAGCAAGCTACACACCGTACTGATCACAGCTGGCCATTCTTGCGCGAGCGTCGTTTCCCGTGCTTTAAATCGCGCTAGGGACGAGTCCACGTGCAGCATTTAAATATTCGTGTTCTACCACGGGCATACACAGGCGCAGTGGCGCACGATTTATCGATCGTCTACTGGCAGCGGTTGGCAGAAAGCCACGTAATTGTTTTTGCCGAAGGGGTAGACGGGTATCCGGCCTCACGCTCTGCTAGAC